CAAGCAAACCTACTAAAGTGAAATGGTGCCTCTACTGGTCCAGGGCCTTGGAAAATTGTGGGAAAGCTGTTCTTTAATAAGGGTTGAATAAGGGATTTGTTCTTTTGGGAAAGGCTTGCAGTTTGAATTTGGCAATTTTGGAAATGGCTTGCTTCCCTTCTTCAGGGGCTGCTCTGGCACAGCTTGCTGCAATAGTGAACCCAGCAAACAAACCTACTCAGATAGAGATGCATTTACAGGCTCAGATAGGGAGATGAGCAAAAAATTGACTGAGCTACAGCGTTTTTGAGAAAAAATGCCTCTCAGCAATTACAGTTTTTTTTGCAAAAAAAAGGGCTCTCCCAATTTTGTTTTGCCACAAAAGCGAACCCTCCAAACAATACATGAGTTTCAGAATAATTTGGAAAAAATTGCCACAATAGCGACCCTAGGTACTAATCAGGACTCAACATTATCTACTGAACAAGTTACCCTCTGGTTATTTAACACACAGCTATGGCAAATGGCCCATTTACGGATGATTTTACCATTATAAAAACCTCCATTTATAATGGATTTTCCAGTTCGCTATGTTAGTCATAACCAGATGGTACAATAAAACAAATGAAAAGAACTGAGAATCTGTGGAACCCAAGAGATGCACCGTCCATGCCGGAGGTATGGAAATCCTGACGGCCCTGTGCAGATGAAGGTCCACTGTGATGTGGACGGCCTTGTGCTGGAAACCAACAGCTCCTACCCGTTGTTTGATTACCATAAGGTATTGAATTACATAGACATTAATAGTATTAAACTCAATGTTGCGGATTATTAATAGTTAAAAAAAGAACCTCAAACTGGGAACGGAACCAAAAACAGCTCTCGAAGGGCCTCGAATTCTGGAAAGATGTCGCCACCTGACGGTTTGGAGTTGCCACCGGCTCTGTTTTTTTCTGGCTCAACAGTTTCACCGCAACGAAGCAAATCAACTGCCATTGGCGGAATTGTTCCCTTCTTGGTCCCGCAAGGGCTTCGATGATATTAGGCAACAAAAGAAGTACACCTGGCACATTGAACCCCACAACTCCCAGATGTGCAGCTTGGGATACTCTGTCATCCAACAACTTCATACAATTTCTAGAAAACCAATGAATAAGAGTATAGGTCAGTCTAGGTCATATATACCCATTGAATCCCATTGACACAAGCAGATACCCATTGCATACACCATCGAAGAAAACCATTTTCTTCCGAAAGATCCCAGAAAAACGTAGCCATTGCAGCCAAAGAGCTGTTCAAAGGCTTCCGGCGATGGAGATTTTTTTCGCAGTGGCCTGGGGATGTTGATGACTTTAGGAAACTCTGCTGACTCGAGGATCACTCGGTTTATTCCAAAGATGATGCCAGTTACTGCCAGTTACTAAGTGGATACTGAAGATTTGGCCATTGGGACTGTCTTGATCCTGGTGTATGGTGAACTGGGAATGTGGCGACTGGGGACGGCTAAAGGAGAGCGCAAGGAGCCATCTCTCTGTAAGTTTGTCTCGCGGATTCGGGAAAGCCCGATTTCTACAGTGGTGATATGTGGACCTACTGGTACGATCTCTGAATATATAGACCCAAGCTATGTCATGCTAGCTTAATGTATAATAATGTATACTTTATACGAATTCAATACCCGTGGCAATTTCCACTCTAGAACTGGTGAACCTGTGCATAGTTTAAACGAAATTCTTAATGTATTGGAATTTTAAAATTGATGTCAGGCTAGTCATTTTATTGTTGGGGGGTTGGGCTAAGCATTTTATTGTAAAGGTAAATCCTGGTGATTTTTAACATGTTAAAATTCCATTCTCATTTTATTGCAAAAAAAAGTCTGCTTGGAGCATTTTATTGCAGAATGGAACCAATGCTTTTCCAGGATCTTTTTATATCGATTTTGTTGGGCATGTCATTTTGGATCAGCGAATTTTAAGGAATTTGAAGGAATTCTAAGGAATTTTAAGGAATATTAAGGAATTTTAAAGGAATTATAAGGAATATTAAGGAATTTTAAAGGAATTATAAGGAAATTTAAGGAATTTAGAGAGTTTTAAGGAATTTTAAGGAATCTTAGAGGAACTTTAAGGAATTTAAAGGAATTTGACGGAATTTGAAGGAATTTGGAGGATTTTTAAGGATCTTTAATGTTTTTAAATTCTAAAGGATATTTAAGGAATTTTAAGGAGTTTCTTGGAATTTTAAGGAATTTAAAGGATTTTTAAGGAATTGCCACGAAAGAATGCCACCGTATTTTGTTGCTATAAAATGCTATAAAAAAAGAAAAACACTTAATATTTGGGCACCTTCACTCTAAAATACCCCTATCTAAAAAGAGTTTCCTGACCCCTTTTTAAAGATGCGTTTCTGATGGTCTTCAAAATTGGATGAAATTGGATGATGTTGGATGCACATTCAAGCATGAATTTGGTGGCAAGGCATTTTATTGCAGAGCCAGTTTTCATTGTTTTTGTGCATTTAAAAGCCTGAGGCCTATGCACAAAAGTTAGACCGCTCTAAAACTCCTGCACAGCTTCACATAATGAATTGGCACCCCGATCGAATTCACACATCCATTTGTACTTTCAATTGACGCACCGTTGCATCCAATAGGTCCATGTGGGCAAGAAGGCTGGAAAAATCGCAGAGCTGGGAGTTGGACTGGATCGGAAGATGGGATGAACATCGATGGTGAAGATTTTTCAATGGGAATTTCAGGATCCTAAAATGGAGCTACTGTACCATATAAGACATTATAAGACCATATTTTATGGGGATATCCCCTGAAATTAAGGCCTTATCATGTTTCCTTCGGGTTTCATCATGATAAGCAGGCAGAAACTTAAGTTTCCTGCACCTCCATTGAATCAATCCATCGAATTGGTGGCCGATATCGTGATGGTATTTTCCCCAAATGAAACCATTAACGATATACTTCAATTGCATGGTTGATACAGTAGATTCATCAATATGGTCCCGCAAGACAATATAGTGACTACACCCAGCACCATGCTTGAAGCCGCGACCAGTATTTATTGAGTTTACTCACTACTAAACTATATAATCATTATTGGGTTTATTTCGTAAATCACTTCTCTTTGGGCATTACCAAAAACAAAACTGATAAAACTCCCATATACAACCATACGCATAGCCATATCTAACATTATCTAACCCACATAGAGACATAGAAACACGTCTAAATGCATGGGTTACAACTCTAAGTATCACTATAACTATGACTACAACTATAACTCATGTTGTAAACCCAAGAATAAACTATCTCCAATATTACTGAATGGTAAAAACCATCCCCAACTTGTACAGCTGGATTTCCCATCGCCAACATCACCATTAGATACCATCGGATCCCAACAGCCCATGAATTCCCCATAAAATGACCATGAAATCATTAAATTCCATCTGCTTGGTGCTTTGGATCATGATTTTTACATATTTTTATGACTTCCGTGTCATAAAAAATAGGGATAGTCCATCCGAAACCCATTGACGAACTCCAAATCATTTTTCAAGATGGTTTTCTAACCGCCAACCAGATGGTATTCTATGTATTGCATATACTATGAGCCTGATATTGCCATGGATCAATAGAATTCAATTGATGAAATCCCATAAATTCACCATCAATTCCCCCTGTTTCCCAGCGACTCCCGAGCTATGGCTGCTATGGCCATCCCTACTGTAGCGCCTAAGAGGTGTGGAGCAGCGCCCCGATGGCCATCGCGCGTGAAGGCGGCGTAGATTTCCGATCATCGGAAATGATATGATAGTAGTGGTTATTACCCTCTGGTAAACATACAAACAAATATGGAAAATGGAGGTTTTAATGGGAAAACCATAGGAAAACCATAGGAAAACCATAGGAAAACCATAGTTCACCTGGTTATTACCCTCTGGTTATGTCAAAATAGCTATTGAAAATGACCATTGAAATAGTGGATTTTCCCATTAAAAATTGTGAGTTTCCATAGTTATGTGAAAGTTTACCAGAGGGTAATCGACATTGATGGATACTACTAGATACTACTAGATACTAACCACTACTATCCATGGATAAAAAAATCACATCTTATGGATATTCACCATTTTTTATCTAGGATACTCATGGATATATAATGATATATATATATATATGGATAATAGGGTGAAGACACTTAGAAAGTGGTGACTACCCTCTGGTAAACTGTCACAGAACTATGGAAAGATCCACCATGCTATTAATGGGTAAATCAACTATTTCAATGGCCATTTTCAATAGCTATGTTTGTTATGTAAATATGATCATATACCCTCTGGGAAATTAACAGTTGGACCCTGAAATCACCAATTTTTAGTGGTTTCACTAATCTTCCAAGCCCGATGACTGGCAGGGTCGAACTGTAAGTTTACCGGAGGCTAGGTGTTGGTCAAAACCATCTACCAGCTATGACTTGAGGTTCACTAGGTACCAGAGTTTTGACCCACTGCCATATTTGATATGACGATTGATCTTGTCAGATATATATGGAGAATATGGAGATATGGAATGAGGATATTGTATTAGTACTGTAGATAAATATGACTCTATATATATATATGATAGATGATGATACATATTTGATATCTCGATGTAAATATGACATGATATGATGATTATATATATATATGTAATGTGTGTACATGTACAATTAGACATGATTAGATGTTCCACAAAGAAGTGGGTTATAGTTCACCATAGTTGATTTGTGGTTCCATATCCCAACTTCCGGAGGTTAACATAGTTACCCTCTGGTTATTTAACAGTTTGCCATGGAAAATCACCATGCTATTAATAGGTAAACCATCTATAAATGGGCCATCTATACCATGGCTATGTTAAATAACCAGAGGGTAATTCATTTCACCCCAGGCCCCAGCTCGGTTCCGTGGGTTCCGGTGGAAATGCCATACCAGCCACGCGTCTCCCACGCTGAGCGGCGCTTAGGTGGTCTTTTTTAGCTTCATTTCAGGGACGCTGGGGCTGTCCCTATATTCATACATGTCAGGCATGAATGCCGGAACCTTAGCAGCCAAAAAGCAGCCGTTTGATTCCCATGTACAGACTCTGCCAAACTCTTTTTGGCTCTTATTGCAAGCAACAGAATCAGCTAACAGCGATGCTGAACACCGAAACGCTTTGCTGTTCCTTGGCATACTAGTGGTTGGCTAGTGGTTTATGGTGGTTTGCTCCCGGGTGGCTGGAGGTTTCTTCTTTAGACTTGGATGAGCCCACGTCTCAACGGGTGCTTTGTCTCTCAGAATGGCCCCAGCGCTACGACAGAGTCGGATACCCTAGCGTGGAGGGATGTTGTTGGGAGAGCTATCCATTTCTCCATTTCGGCAACAAAAACACATGAAGATGGGGTATAAATCCACAATAGTCCACATCTCTGCGCAGAATTGAGAAGCAGTGCGTGGTTTCTTGGTAGAGTGTCAAAGAAGTCCTAACGCACACAAGTACGGTTTAGTACCTCTTATAATGGTTAACAAACATGTATACTATGTGTATTCGGAAGAGCAATGCATCAGGTCGCATGATGCTGACTAATTCATCTAATTACCAACTTCCGTGTGGATGGCCACTGGTTGATTTGGCTGAGGTTTTTGCTTTGAGCACTTGGAACAATCCAGAGGAAGAAAAATGGGGCTCCGTCGGTTGCCATAAACCACCACCACCTTGTACCTGGGGCAGCCTCACTTTGTGTTTTTTTCGAGTTTCAGATGGACATTGACCCATCAGTGAACCTTAATGATTCAATTGTTTGGCCTTTTTTATGGGTGTGTCTCAAAAAGGAGTTATATATATATATATCCTATCATGTTACATCCCCGAGCACGGTGGCCAATTCTTAATGAGGAAAATCATGATAAACCATTGGACTTTTTGTTTTTTTCGCCGCCATTTTCGGAGAAACCTAGATTCTACCCTCCAGTAAACATACGAACATATTTCCAAGATCCACCATTTATAGAGCTTTTTGGAGGTTTGCTGGACCCTCAAGACCCTCAATACCTCTGCGCCAGGACGAGGTGCTCTTTCAGGTTCCCGGACATAACCAGGAGATGACTCAGCCCGCATCTATCCTCAGGTGTCATCGAACTTGGCCGGAAAATCCCCAAACTAAATGGAGGTTTTAGTGGGCTTTTCTCATCTGCGCGGGGATTTTCCAGCAAGCCATGTTTGATTCCCAGAGGATAAAATTTGCCCAACTGTTAACTTTAACTGTTAACTGTTAACGGTTTACCCCGGAAATAGGATGATCTTTTTCGAACACCGAGAGCCGAGAGCTGGCCAAACTTGGTGGATCTCTGGGACCTGCTGTTGGGACCGCTGCAGGAGTTTCTGGCGCAGTATTTCTGCAAGGCTCCAGATTTGGATCTGGCTTGCAGGCACGGGAACTCAAAGATCTCAAGGCTATTGGCCAGTGAATTTCTACCTGATCTACAAACAAGCTTGGCAAATGATGGTGAGAGTGGAATGGTTCTTCAGTTCCGAAACTCATAATTCAAAGTGTTCAGATTGCACATATAATATATGTGTATATATATATATATATTCATATGTATATATTATATATATATATATATGTATATGTTCATATATATACATATGTATATATATATATATATGTATATGTTCATATATATATATATATGCATTCCAAGCAGTATACTTTGGATTCACGACTCCAGGGACGTCAAGCTGCGTACCCAAGACTTGGGCACACCGTGCGAGTGCTCGGTTTTTTTTTCAGTGGGCTTCATTTTGGGCGCACCCTGCGGCTGTTTTGGGATTTGCCTTGGGCTTATTGGGCTTACTGTTGGGTCTTGGGTCATGTGGTTTTTGGGTGCTGAGGTTGGCCATGGCAATGGGCGGTTCGGGTGGCCAGTACTATGACATTTTAGGCAGGGCTGGGCATTTGGGCCGCAACAAAAATGGGGCATTTGACCAACAAACATGTGGAAATCCTCTTAGAAAAAATCAGAAACTGGATTTTCCAGCCACGCCTGGCTTCATAATTCCACCAATGCCGGTGGTGGATGGTTGGACATGGAGTTGATATGAGTTGATGATGATTTCTGGTGACGGGGGACCATATATAAACCATATACAGATAGGGTTTGTTTGAAACTACCCCATTCAATCCACTGCTTCGTCACCAGTTTCCCTACATCAAGTGGCCCATATATTGCTGGTATCCATCATTTTTTCAGCCACATTCAGATGAGTTTTTTTTTCCCCATGGGGCCCCCCAAAAACATTTGTTTCCCATTCGTAAAGTTGACACAGTTTGGATGATTTGGGTCTCCATGACTTGGCTATAAATTATCGGCTATAAATCTGCAATAACCCATAAATGGTTTAAGTTTTACATCCCAGACATCCCAGAATCCACAGCAAATATCCTACTAATCCATACTAGTCCCGTACTTTTCTTGCCCATTCATCCGCATTAATATTAAATGGTTTGTGATATATCCTATCATTAAAGCACATATTATATATATATATATGTGTGTACATCCATATAAAACCATAAATGGTTGCATTTACATCCCATTAATATTCCATATTACATTTTCATTGGTTATATTCCACTATATTATTCAATTATATATCTTCATATAACCTCATAATTGGTTGGTTCCCATTACTTTCCATTAATATCCCATGTTTCTTTGGTTATCATCTCCAAAATTCAATCCCTGTTTGTTGATAACTATCCCATCATATCCCCTGAAATATCCATAAAAATCCTATTGCTGATGGTTAACCCCCTGTTAAAATACATCTCATTTTGTTGATGATATATCCCATCACATGGCCATTAGCCAATATTAGCCATTGTTGATGGTTAAAGACCCATTCATCCTATCCCCCCAATTTTTCGAAAAAAAAAAAGTTTTTGATCCGAAATATGGTGGATTTCCATGGATATTTCATCCCTTGCATCCACCATGTCATAGAATTGGATGATGGGAAAATTTTAACCGGAAAGCCCTATATTTGATGGTATTTTAACCATGGTTTCCGGTTCAGATTTTCCCTTAAACCAATCCATTGACCATGAATTTTCTAGCAAATTTTGGACAAACCCATTTTTTGATCCGAAATATGTGATTTCATGATATTTCATCCACCATTTTGTTCAAACACCCCCATATTTCATCCCTTGCATCCACCATGGTGACTGTCTGGTGACTGATCGTCAGGTGTTTGGGCGATGCTGTGGCTGGTTCTGACTTTTGTGGCCTGGTTGGGCGTCACGATCCACGACCTGGCTCTGATCGGTCAGACGCAGAAGGTGGGGGAGATCCCAGAAATCCATAAAACATATGGCAGTGTGTCAAAACCAATAGTACCCCTGTAGTTCACATCAAAATAGCTGGGATTTATGGATGTTCATCCCCTAAAAATGGTATTTATAGGTATTGATCCATACCCATATTAAAACATACCATAAGATCTAGATTATTTATAGATCTTAAGGGATGATAATCTTCATACTTTTTTTTTAAAGACTATCATGATATATACATATCTTAATTGTTCTTAAGTAATAGTATTGATTATTTTATGGGGATACCTCTTAATCCCAGATGTTAATAGTAGTCCTCATTGTATAATGTATAACCAACCATTGATGGATACGACAAAATATAAATAGAAATCAACCATATCATATCATCAGCTTATGGTCCTCCTGTGTTGGTAGTGTGAAGGTGACTGTGTCCAATCCGTAGCATCTTTTGCTTCAGGGAATATAGGTGACCAGGCCCTGGCTAGCACGTGAGCCACATTCCCCAGCCTGAACCTGGTCCGTACTGGGGGAAGAAAGGGGGTGTGACTCATGAGCAAGTCAGAGCCTTGGAGAAAGACAGGGAGAAAGGCTGGACAAGATCATTGGCTGGGATTGGAGGTGAACGCCATCCTGGAGCTCAGCCTGTATGACGACCGTGGTGGACAACAAGGTCGGGGACTGCTTGTGCTTACCGGACGTGGCATGGAGGACAATGAGAAGGAAGGTCAGACATGGATTGGATGGTTCCTTGCCGTGGAGGACGATTACTACGCATGGTGGGTGTCAAATCACTACCCGGTGAAATCGATTCCATTCCATTTTTGTGCCATACAGGCCCACCGGTGCTCAGTCCCCACACTATACAGGGAGCCGATCCATGTTGACGTCTTTCGAGTTCTTCCTGGGGACTCCTACCAGGATTTGAAATGGATGGATGATGCAAAGAAGGCGCAGGCAAAGAGTCTGCTTGAGGAACGGCGGAGGGCACATCTTGGGTCTGGGAATGCTGCCCCCCAGTCTTTGGGGGAAGGCGAACTCAGGCCTGGGGGTGCTGACGGTGCACAAGTTGAAGTAGGTCCTGAGGGGATTGCAGGCTTGGCTCAGGCCCTAGGTGGAGAAGGCCACCCTCCGGAGAAGTTGGCCGCACAGCCAGAGCGGAAAAGGCAGAAGAGAGAAGTGGTGGACACTGACAAGAAGCCTGATGATGTCAAGCAGGGCTTGGATGAAGTTCTCAGCAAGCGGAAGGCCCCAGTGCCAGCTGGAAGTGCTCTCAAGATGACGAAAGGTGACAAAAAGAAGAAGAAGTCAAAGAAGAGGAGTGACAAAAAGAAGAAAAGGGAAAGGAATGACAAGAAAGATGGCTCTAGTGGCACTTCCTCGGATGAGGATACAAGCAGCTCTGAGGATTCGCTTTTTCGATTGGCCGCCCTGCCAGAAGGAGTAGATCGCCTGCACCGGCTTCATCAGGAAAGACCGGGTGCTTTGGGGAACTTGACTTTACGTCGGTTTCAGGAGCTACTCAACCGCTCGACAGGCGGGGGATCGGCCACTCAGGAGCAAGACTTGCCGCCAGTGGCAAGAGCCTACCTGAGTCAGATATACCTGACCAGGAACTCGGAGAGCGCAATCGGCCTGCGGAACTTGCGAGAGTTACGAACTCTGGCGACCCTTGCGGACATGATCGCCAGCAACGATGCTCTCAGAGCATTGGACATGGCCCTCCAGCGGATGAAGGCAATCGAGTTGTTCATCAGTCAGGGGCAATGGTCCCAGGCCAACCTGCTCGAGCTGATTCTTCCGGAGGACGAGCAGAGAGCTTGGTTCCGTCAGGAATTAAAAGCAGCCCAGCAGGAGCACAAGAGCGAAATGAGGCTGCAGAGGGATCAATGGCCAGCACGCCGGGGGCCTTGGGCCCCAGTGCGTGCAGCAGCTCCAGTGGTCGAAAAGAAGGAAGGAGACGAAAAAGACGAAACACCTCCCGGAAACGGAGGCGGAACCGGGAAGGGCCGGAAGGGCCGAGGAAAAGGAAAGAAAGGAGGCAAGAGATGGTGATTGAGGAGAGGAACCCAATTGGCCTCAGCTACCCTGCTTTGGAAAGAGCGATGCGAGAGAATGAGATTTCCGAGGAGACAGCAGTCAAGGTGAGGGAGCTCCTACTTGATGAAGAGGTCATCGGACTCCATCAGCTCCTACAGAAGTCAGTGAAGGCCAGTCCCAACTGGGTGAAAATTGAGTTCAGATTCTTTGAGATCCTTGCAGATGTCGCTGGTGACCCGCCCAGTGTTGTCAAGAAGCGGTTGCAGGAGCATTGCAGCTTTATTGAAGCGGAAAGGAATCCATCCGCCTCGCCAGCCCTATCTACCCTTCTGGGAGTTGGCAGCCTTCCACTTGGGGTTGATCCTCGGGTGGGAGAAGGCCGGCTCCTGAGGGTTGAACAGGGGGTCGAAGTGAGAGCGGCAGAGGTTGAATGGAAAAAGGAGGATGGTGTGTTTGTGGGGGCGCCCCACAGAGAGCATGGTTGCACCATCTATCACAAGGACTTTGTGAGCCAGCTTGGGCACGAGGCAGTCAGGCAATCATTGTCCGGCCAGAAGCTCTATGTTGCGCCCAATGATGTGGATGGGGCCTTGTGGTTGATCCGTGAGTTCAAACTTGGTAAAGGACAGCACCTGAGCGTTGAGGGTTGGAGGCAGAGAATGGAACGAGGCTGCTCTCGTGAGATGTCGTTGAGTCTGACTGGGGTGGTGTTGAAGCTTGGAATCATGGATCGCCCCGGTGAGCTTGGGAACTTTGCTCGAGCTCTTTCTTGCTGTGCTCTGGAGACTTTTCAGCGACAGCCTGCAGAGCTCCTCCCTCTACCTCTGCCCGAGATGAACGATGAGGAGCGTTCAATTGAGGAAGCTGTCCATAGATGCATGAAAGGAGATGACGATGTTGGTGGTGCAAGATGGATTGAATTGAGAAAAGAGACGGAGAAAATTGGAAGAAAAGTATGGACATGGTTGCAATGCTTGGTGGTCAACTTTCTTTACTCCCAAGGGAGTGGTCACCGCATGTTGACGGAAGGGATGCTTCACAGCAGAACACCAACAAAAGCTCAGCAGGAAGCCTTGGGACGATTTTCTGAGATGAGCCGGAAGTGGCTGGAGGAGGATACCGGTGACAGTGTGAAGGCAGATACATGGGAAAATTGTTCAGAAGGCCTGGGAGACATGTACACAGGGCCGAACATTGGCAAATCGTACCCCCTCACGCTGGAGGCGATTCTGCCTACAACCCCGGGCTCAGGAGAGGCTGCTCGCATCCCTATGGTTGATGTGGTCAGTGACAGCGTGAAGCCCTATGTGGAATCTCCGGAAAGTCTCCTGATCCCTGAGGAGGAGTTGGTGGCTCCCCGCATCTCAGCGGCCGTGCAGGTGACTTCTCAGCAGGAGTGGAACAAGGTTGTGAGCCACCTTGTGGATGCAGGAATGCTGGAAAGAGAAGTAAAAGAGGAGACATTGAGATACAAGGATCAGCCTGTGAGAAATGGAGCCTTTGGAGTGCATAAGGCCTGGGTTCTGAAGGAAGATGGAAGCTGGCTGCGGACCCTGCGGCTCATCATCAACATGATCCCGGCCAACAGCTTTCAAAGGAGGATGCCGGTACGTGCCTCTGAGAAAATGGGCTATGCGCCTCTATGGGGCAATTTGTACTTGCATGATGATGAAGTAATCATCTGCTCAGCTGAAGACCAGAAGCATTGTTTTCACATCTACCGACCAGGGTATTCATGGAGAGGCTTGTTCACGTTGAACAAGAAGGCGGCTGGTGAGTGCTTCAAAGATGGAAATGATCAGATGAGCTATCCACGGGTGAAGAGCGCACCAATGGGTTGGAACAATGTGGTTGACTTCATCCAAGATGGGTTTGAAAACATGGCAAGGGAAGCAGGGCTGCCTCCAAACCAGATCATCAGGATGGGAGAGCCAAGTCCATTGGTGCCATTGGAAACCCCCAGGAGTTTCTTTTCGTTCTATGTGGACAACTTTGATCAGTTGAAGCTGGTCTGGCGGACAGACCAAGGTCTCTATGAGGGGTTCCCAAGTGAGGAACAACTGAAGTTGAGGGAGAAGATGAATCAGCTGACAGTTGGACGGGATCCAAAGAAAGCTGCTGAGGGAACAATTTCATGGAGCAGTCTGGGAGCCGAAATTGCTGGAAAGGAAGGTTGGGTTGGCAGTGCACGAAGCTTCCGAAAAGCGTTGCTGGGTGCAAACCTTGGGCTGCTGGTCGGGGGGGAGGTCCGTGCCGACTCACCCAGCCTGCAGTCTGTGGTTTCTAAGAACATGCACTCGGTGCAGTTCTGCCGGCAACTGGCCTGCCTCTTCGATAGGCTCTATGTGGAAATGAATCAGGAGAAGCCACGCATCATGACAGAGCAGGCAAAAGATGAGCTTCTGCTTTTGAGTTGTGGGCTGCCTATGCACTGGCTTGACCTGCGATTGAAGGTGTCGGGTCAAGTGTATGCTACGGATGCCAGTCCTGAGGGTGGCGGAGCTTGTAGTAGCACCTCGCTGAGCCCTTGGGGCAATGCCCGCCTCCAGAGCATGTCGCATGAAACTGAAGGTCTAGAAGGAGGCGGCACCCGCAACGCCTTGGTAGTGGAATGTTTCGCGGGCATGGGTGGCCTCAAGCAGGCCCTGGATCTCCTGGGTTTCGAGCCAGCAGGGGTGATTGCCATTGACAATTCCCCGGAGTGCAGTCGGATTTACCGGCAGCACTGCCGCCATGCCATTTGGATCCAGGACATTACAACGATCACTGAGGCACAGGTGATAGAATGGCGGAGGAGATTCCCAAAAGTCACACAAGTCATCTTGGCTGGAGGATGGCCCTGTGTAAACCATTCCCTGTTGAATGTGCACCGGCAGGGTGCAGAAGGTGCTACGAGCAAGCTTCTTGACGGCATGCTCCAAATTCGGCAATGGCTCAAAGAATGCAGCAGGAAGCTCAACCTGCCTGAGTGGAAACTGGTGGAGATGTACGAGAATGTTGTCATGGATGATGGGGACTTCAAGGTGCAGACGAAGAAGATAGGCTTCCTTCCATACTTCATGGAAGCGGCTCAGCTGGGCCGCTGTAGGCGACCACGTCTCTATTGGCTGTCAGGAGTGGACATCATTCCTGGAGATGACTTGAAGGTTTTGCAGAGGGTCATTATGCGAGGACATGAATATCATGTCAAGGAAGTCAGAGTGGATACAGAAAGGCTGCCTCTGGAGTGGTTCCTGGAGAAGGGTGCTTCCAAAATGAAAGGCCCTGAAGACCCTTTCGCAACCTTCACGAGGCCAATTCCACGTCAATCTCCTCCGGACAGCCCTGCTGGGCTGGACCAGGCCTCAGAACGAGCGAAGAAAAGATGGCAAGGAGACAGCTTCCGGCTGCAGGTGTATCAGTATGAAGAGCGGAACCTGGTGGTTGACAAGAACGGCCCTCGTCGCCCCCTTCCCGAAGAACAACTTCGAATGATGGGGTTCTGCTCGAACCATCTGACAGCCAAGAATCGTTTGAGCAATGATCTGAAGGGGCAAATGATTGGCAATAGCTTCTCTGCCATCTCAGTCGCCCGTCTCCTAGTTGGACTGGTTGCTACACCAGAACAATGCAAGAACAAAGATGTGACCTTGCTGCTATGGCAGGTCTGGCAGCAAAAGGAGCAAAAAGCCCGGCAAGAGGATAAGCCTTGGAAGATAAGGTTTTCAAGCGTGGCTGCAGGGGCACCCGGGGCGGTGAGTCTCGTTCACGAGATCTTGCCGTCACCTGTCGCTCCGTTGCGGTCGCTCATTGACCCACAAGGATGGCTGACCGATGAGGAGGCCTTGAGCTACCTCCTGGCCCGAAATGGAACTCATCGCAATGCCGAAATCAGGGTCGATTTGGGAATGCCCTATGCTGTTGGCGAACTTTGTCGACAGAGCGTGGATCCCACACATTGGGTGTGGAAAGTGCTCCTGTCATACGCCTGGAAGGAAAAAGGGCAGCACATCAACGTCTTGGAGTTGGTGGCTGTCCTCGACCTGCTCCGGCGTCAAGCTCGAGATCCAAAGTTTCACAGCCTCAAGATGTTGACCCTGGTGGATAATCAGGTGGCACTGAGCTGCATCTCTAAGGGACGCAGTTCCGCCCGAGCACTCCAAGGACCTCTTCGGAGGATCAGCGCCGTTAGCCTCGCCGCTCACTTTCGATTATGTCTGGCCTGGGTGAAGAGTAAGTGGAATCCCGCTGATGGGCCCTCGAGGTGGGCCAAAAAGAAACGACCCAATGCCTAAGCAACAAGTGCTTGGGCGACGTGGCCAGTTCGAAAGGAAAAAGGAGAGGCAGGCGCTGGGGTGCTTAAAAGATTTAGTTGTTGCTAAGGCAACTAGAGAAAGGTATCTTGAGGCGGTTTCACGTTTTCTTCTGTTTCTGAAGTGTCACTTGTACAGTTACCCCACTAGTTTTTCTCTGCTTGATTCAAGGGTCTCAGAGTTCATTGAATCCTTGTGGCACAATGGAGATCCCAAATCTTATGCTAGTGATTGCTTGTCGGGGCTGGGGCATTTTGTCCCACAATGTAAACGCTGCTTAGTAGGGTCTTGGAGACTACATGGCAGTTGGACAAGAGCTGAGTTACCGGCCCGTGCTCCCCCTTTTGTCCCGGTCATGGTCTATGCCCTGGCACAAGCTGCTTTTGAAAAAGGTTGGGAAGATCTGGCAATTCTTGTCTTGCTAGGTTTTGACCGGTATGCACGATCAGGTGAGCTTTTCTTTGCTCGAAAAGGCGACTTCACATGGAATGCTGCTAAGACCCGTGCTGTCTGGTCTCTTCCGCTTACCAAAAGTGGGCAGCGAGTGGGAGCACATGAGTCTTTGGTCATTGATGACCCCTGGTTGGTAACTGCTTTGGCAAACTACCTGCGTGCTTTGGCCCCTGGTGACTATTTGCGAACAGTATCTCCTGGTCTTATGCGTTTAAGGTTAAAAACGCTGCTTAAGGATTTGGATTGCCCCGAAGGCTACCAATGGTATTCTCTCCGAAGGGGAGGTGCTACACATGCGTTTAGGGTATCTAATGACCTTTCGCGAGTCTGCTTTGTTGGCAGATGGAATAGCCTTAAAACGGCTAGGATATACTTGACGGATGCTTTTGCCCAGTTGACCGAAATCCAACTGGAGCCACCAATTAGAGCCAAGCTGTTAAGGTTAGCCAGAAAGGCTCGACCTCGCTACTCTTTTGACCTGTGAAAACCTTTGAGAACATGTGAAAACCTCCCTCCCCCCTCCCTGCTGCCACAAATTCCGTTTTTTTTTTTCAGGCCATCCCATCTCTCCTGTGGCAAATTGGCTTGAGCCTATGCTACCTTTTTTCTCAGCAGTCAAACTGCTAGGATAGGGGGAGGTGGACACCGGTGTCAGGGTGCTTCTTTTTCTTGTCGGTAAGGCATGGGCCTTGAGGGAGGGCACCCTGTTTGGCTTGCTTGTTGTTAAGTTTCACTGGTGTGCCTGGGGACCGTCTTGCTCCCTGCTGCAAAGTGTGTGGTCCTAGCTTCTGCAGGGGCTTTGCTAGCAGGGTGTGTTTGGTCCCTGGTTCCCTTGTTTCTTCAATGACATACCGTCATGTCATTGACTTGAACAAACTTTCTTCAGAGCGCAGCTTTGTAAAACAAGGATTGGCTGAACCTGAGCACTAGCTTAT